GATGAAGACAACTTCTGTGTTGGCTGGGCATCATTTCCAACTGATCCCGATCAACAACAATGCAAGAGGGTAAGAATGATATAAATCAATTACTAACTCTTATATGAAAATCTGAGTGCAGTGTCAAGCACAAAAATGACGTTGAGACATCGTGACCGAACAAGGGTGCTGCACTGTCTTGTGACCTAAGAAGATTTATTTTGTTATGGTACCGCCAAATTATTCTCTATATAGGCCTTCTCAAAATCATCTCTGATGAGAGTAGCTCCATCCTTTAAATTCAGTATGGTGAATGTTCGTGCCAAAAGACGTCAGACCTCTCCAATTTTGATGAACATATTTAACGAAGTTTCGCGAGAACAAAGAATGAAATTCGACGAATTTTGCATTCCTTTTGCACAGTACATGTATACATTTTTCAATCCGTCTCAAACTAAAAATCTTCATATTCTTCACTGAAAGGATTCAATCGTCAAACTATTGCGAGGAGAATAAAAGCCAGAGAAAGAATTGGAAGTGTAGCAATAGTTATTTTAAGTCCCTGGCGTGTTGTTCCTAGTTTTCACTAATTTATGGCGCACCAAAGGTCGCAAACATTCATTTCTTATTATAAAGAACGCATTTAAAAGAACTCTATTCCTACATGCACTCACAATCCAATCTTCTGTTTCCCAAGGAACCGTGCCCAGAAGATACAGCAAACTGTTTTTCAAGAATCACATTCTGGTGGCTTAACTGGTAAGTACTGCTATTTGAGATCTGTTCCAGGGATAGATTGGGTTTATACTTTAATTCCCAGCCTTTTCAAATTTGTTGTTTCTTTTGTACTAGCTTAACAAAATATTTTATAAATGACAGACACTAGGACAAAAGCAACTTAACAATATGTTATTAGGGGATGATTCTTTCAATGTGTCACCATTATTTTATATTAATAATATCGAAAGAGAGGCATGGAAATCTGCAAAGGTGGAGTAATGTTTCTTGGTTTGGATAACTATGCATTTGAGCCCCTACTAAGAGGCCATCCTTGGGGAAATGCGAGGTGGC